AGGACACATATCAGTTGGGATAGATGTAGTGTAATACTAAGAATAAAATTATTATATTCTCAAATTTTCGGGAAAATGAATTGGGTCGTTTTGAATATTGATTTGTAATAATCAATAAAATAACGAAACAATTTACTCACGTATACGTATCAGAGGCAACTGAAAATCGTGTATGTATAAACATTCTTAATTTAAGATGACAGGCGTAACAGCATACGTGAGAGTCAAACAGAGAAACTGTAAACAAAACGACCATCGGTTTTATTGCTTCGACTTCCGCTTATTATATAAAACATTGGGTTTTATTTTAATTCTTGACGGTGAAATTCACAATTGGTTGATTATAAACATGTCTATTTCACATTCGCGGAACCAAGTGAACGCATAAAACAAATGCAGGTCTGTAATGTTAAAGTCGATGTAAATAAGCGTGCTACCCTTATGTTTCAACCGAGTTTTTCCTTTAACAAATTTTGTGTCTACCAAATTGGGTTGGTTGGGGTGTAATACTAATAATAAGTGTTGCCTTTAATTTAATCAATAAAATAAATTGACTTCATTAATTTTTTTGAACCACCTCTTAAGAAAATCTAAAAAATATGAATGGAATGATAAATCACAAGTACAAACTCATCATATTTTTTGCATTTTAGATAGGATTTATTCAGCAAAATTTAAGGGTGACGTCATCAATTTTTTTAGGAGGGATGAACAAATACATTTTGAACAAAAGTTTACCATGCTTATAATAACTTTAAAATATTCCCAAGATTTCAAAGCATTCGGTTTTGTAATTCCTGATTAAATCGATAAAATAAATTCACGCCTTCATTCATTTTTTTGAGTCACCCTGCATATGCAAATCCAAAAATATGAATGGAATAATAAATCACAAGTACAGACTCATCATATTTTGTACATTTTAGATACGATTTATTCGGCAAACTTTTGAGCTGACGTCATCAGTTTTTTGTAGAAGATAACCAAATATATTTTGACTAAAAATTTATTATGCTCTTTATAACCTTAAAACATCTGCAAGATTTCAAAGCATTCGGTTTTGTAGTTCCTGATTAAATCAATAAAATAAATTTACGCATTCATTAATTTTTTGAGTCACCCTGTATATGCAAATCGAAAAAATTTGAATGGAATGATAAATCACAAGAAGAGACTCACCATATTTTGTACATTTTAGATAGGATTTTTTCAGCAAAATTTTGTGGTGACGTCATAAATTTTTTAGGGGGGACGACCAAATACGTTTTGATCAAAAATTTACCATGCTTATGATAATTTTAAAATGTCTTCAAGATTTCGAAGCATTCGGTTTTGTAGTTCCTGAGTAAATCAGTAAAATAAATTTACCCTTTCATTTATTTTCTTGAATCACCCTGTATATGCAAATCCAAAAAATATGAATGGAGTGATAGATCACAAGTACAGACTGATCATATTTTGTACATTTTAGATATGATTTATTCGGCAAATTTTCGAGCTGACGTCATGAAGTTTTTGGAGGGGATAAGCAAATATATTTTGACTAAACATTTATTATGCTCTTTATAACCTTAAAACATCTGCAAGATGTCAGAGCATTCCGTTTTGTAGTTCCTGATTAAATCAATAAAATATATTTACGCATTCATTAATTTTTTTGAGTCACTCTGTATATGCAAATCCAAAAAATATGGATGGAGTGATAAATGACAACTACAGACTCATCATATTTTGTACATTTTAGATATGATTTATTCGGCAAACTTTCGAGCTGACGTCATCAAGTTTTTGGAGGGGATAAGCAAATATATTTTGACTAAACATTTATTATGCTCTTTATGACCTTAAAACATCTGCAAGATTTCAGAGCATTCGGTTTTGTAGTTCCTGATTAAATCAATAAAATATATTTACGCATTCATTAATTTTTTTGAGTCACTCTGTATATGCAAATCCAAAAAATATGAATGGAGTGATAGATCACAAGTACAGACTCATCATATTTTGTACATTTTAGATATGATTTATTCCACAAACTTTTGAGCTGACGTCATCAAGTTTTTGGAGGGGATAAGCAAATATTTTTTGACTAAAGATTTATGATGCTCTTTATAGCCTTAAAACATCTGCAACATTTCAAAGCATTCTGGTTAGCAGATTAAAAATTAAATTTCAAAATGTTGTTTTATAATTTTGATTTTTTTTCCAAAAATCTGGACGTTTCGGGTGAAAAGTCGATTCAGAGTTGTAAACTACATGTGTAGGACTATGTTATTTTATACAATTGAAAACCCATTTACTATGTACAATTTTGAAGTGACGTCATCGCTTTAGTGGTGGGGATGATTAGACAAATTTTGGTTAGCGTTTTACCATCTACATGATATTCTTAATATAAGTACAAAATTTCACAACAATCGGTCGAGTACTTTCGGAGATTATCTGTCGAATAAAAATCCGGGACAACAGACGGACAGACGGACAGACGGACGGACAGACGGACAGACAGACGGAAATGGGAGACCTATTTCTTCGTCTTCTAGGGGTCATGAAAGATCGAGAAAACGTAAAAGTAGAGAGTCGGCCGACGGACTCGATTACAATACTTCCTTTGCTTACGCTCGGGAAGTAAAAATACATATTAACTTTTTTTTTTGTTGAACACAACAAATTAAAATTATTCCGAGCAAAATGAAAAATAAATATCTGATCGAAAACAAGAGGATTTACAGTTGGCTACAATTTTTCAATTTCAGTTAGTATTTTCTCTATGTGAAGAACAAAGAAGTCCATAAACAAGAGAACAAAAAACCCACAAAAAACGTGAAAAAAGACCACAAAAAAGGCAAAACAGGACCCAAAAATGTGAAAAAACAATTAAATCTGGTAGTATCGGAGAGAATCTGATAGAATCTGAGAGCATTTCAGAGAATCTATGAGGACTTGAGAGAATAGAGAGAATCTGATAGATTCTGAAAGGATCTGAAAGAATCTAAAATAATCTGAAACAATATAAAAAATCTGAAAAATTAGGAGGAATCTAATAGAATCCGAGAGTACCTCAGAGAATCATAGAGAATTTCAGCGAGTCTGAGAGAATCTGAAAAAATGTGTAGCAACCTGAGAGAACCTGAGGGAATCTAAAATAATCTGAAGCAATCTGCCTGAATCTGCGACTATCGGAGAAAATCTGAGTAAATTTGAGAAGATCTGAGGAAATCTGAGATGATTTGAAAGAATCTGGTAGGATCTGAGAAGATCTGAAAGAATGTGTAAGAACGTAAGAAAATCTGAACGAATCTAAAATAATTTGAAACAAGCTGACTGAATGTGAGTGTCGGAGAACATCTGACAGAATCTGAGAGAATTTCTGAGAATCTGAAAGAATCTAAAAAAATATAAAGTCGGAAAAGCCGGAAAAATCAGGAAAAATCCAACAGAATCCGAGAGTACTTAACAGAATTATAGAGAATTTATGTGAATCGGTGTGAATCTGCGACTATCGGAGAAAATCTGAGAAAAACTAAAAAAATTTGAGAAGATCCGAGAAGATCTGAGAGAATCTGAGACGACTTAAAAGATCTGAGAGGATTTGAGGGGATCTGAGATCATCTGAGAAGATCTGAAAGATTCTGAGAGAATCTGAGAAGTGAAAGAATCGGAGAGAATCTAAGAAAATCTGAGGGTATCTGAGAGATTCTGAAAAAGTGTGTAAGAACCTAAGAAAATCTGAACGAGCCTATAATAATTTGAAACAATCTGACTGAATATGAGAGTACCGGATAAAATCTGAGAGAGTCTGGAGTAGGGATCTGTTGGGATTTGGAAAAATTTGAAAAAACTTGAACGAATCTGAAAAATCTGAGGAAATCTAAACGGATCTGAAAGCATCTAAAAGAGTCTGAGAGAATCCGAAAAAATCTGACAGACTGAGACAATCTGTGTGAAACTGTGACATTCTGAGAGTATCGGAGAGAACATCTTCTCTGAGTTCTGAAGATGGTCGTTATCTGGACGATTTTCAATGAACGGGATTGTTGATTCAGGCTGAGAGAGAAGTCATATAAGAAATGAATGGTTGTGATAGTTGAGAGAGAAAGAATTAAGATAAAGGATTTTGATTTAGGGCAAAAACCGAAAGATTAAAGTAGAAATACTTTTGGAATCTTATTAAATCTTTGAAGAACTACGTGATTATAGGAAATAGAAAAAATTCAAAAAAACAAAATTATTATCACATTGTTACCATTTATGGAATAAATGTAAAACCAGAAATTTCGTTTATTTAACTTCACTTTTTCGACTATTAATCACTATTAAGTAAGCTTGTCTGTTTAAAAACATTGATCAAAGGTTATTTCGATCGAACTTCCCTCGCCTCTGAAGCCAACATCCCGCTTTTTTGAAAATTTTTATTTTTTTTGTTATTTTTGTTTTCTGACCTCTATAAAGTAAAAATTCAAAAAATCGAAAAATCTATAAAATAAATTAAAAATTCTTAAAACTCTTCTCATAGTATTTCCCCTCCACTTTAAAACATTCCAAACGGTATAGAACGCATATGGAACGTGAATCATCTGCCATGTTTGGGACGATTTTCATTCTCCAACGCAATAAACAACGAACATTTTACAAGAGGAGGCCAAACACCGAAGAAGTGTCCGTAGTAAAAGTTGTAGTAGAGTTGCAAACTTTCTATATTTGTACGTACTCCTTAGGCGAGCAATGGCTTGGCGTTATTAAAAATTTAGTTGGAGCACCTGATCGAACGCTCTCCAACCTCTAACTTTTTTAATAAAGCCCAACTAAAATCGCTCCTTTCGCCGAACAAATTAACAATTCACCCCTCTCTCTGGTACATCAGAAAAATTAATAAAAACCTTTTCACCGGCCCCCGTGTTTCCGCTCGCCCTTGCGGCGTTACTTTGCTTTCAAAAGCGCGATCAACGAAGCTACCGTTCCTACTAGTTGGAAATCGTACAAAAATGCAAATCTCTTACCGTCCCTCAGCTTCTGCTCCGTTTTGATAAGATCTCTCACTCTCACGATTTTATTCGATAACTGTTCAAGCGTGGCACTAATTTTAGGGTCGATGTTGTCCGTCTCGTCGTCCGGTTTGACGTGCTCGGTGCTGCCGTTCGAGAAGAGCGACGTGTAACACAGGTCCGAGGTGTCGGCCTCGGCGGCGGTTCCAGGCGTGTCGTCCAGGCCGTAGGAGTGTGCCGAGTCGTCCATTTCGGCCCTGTTGGTGTTGGCCGTCGGCGAGCGGTGTCTGGAAGGCCTGTGCGAGTGCGTCGTCACTCCTCCATCTTGGGACTGCGAGCAAACAACCAAATTACACCACGACTCCACATAATAAGACTAATTATCCGGACACTGCGATATTCATGAGATCCATCTCCGAACGTACCATTAATATTTCATTAGGGATGAGCCACTCGTAATGGTCGTAATCAGTGTCCATGGCGAGCATGGCGGATAGACAGGAATGCGATTTCGGTAAAGAGGTTAAAGTTCGCGGGCTCAGCCCATGCTGGACACTACTGGACAATTGCCCGTAAATTACCGCTTTTCCCGAAGCACTCTGGGTCAAGTAAACACGTTAGTCACATTGTTTGTGTTTGTGTCGCGTCCTCGGATAATTGAGGAATCGCCAGCGATTTGAGGATGGGTTTAGAAAATTTCCGCAAAGTTTTTCCGCGATTGAGATTTTTGCTCGGCGGACGCCAGATGTTCCTAAATTGGTTCATTTAGGTTTTAGCCAATTGTGGACGTTTAATGTTTGGCATTGGACTTGCTCTTAACCTTTAGGTGGAACTGGAAACTCGACCGATTAATTGGTGTGCGAACGTTCGACTTTTCGATCGAATTAGGAAATCTGTGGTATAGTGTGCCAAGGAATGTAGCGGTTTTACGAATTTGACTCCTTCGTTACCCTTGTTGAGGAATTACATGTAAAAAATTGTTCGAAAGTGATTTCAACAGAACTTCCCTCGCCTCTAAAGTACAGCCCAATTAATATTGCGCTTTGAAAAATTATGAAAATTGTCTGCGATTTTCGTTTTCTCTATAAAGTAAAAACCAATTGGCGTAAATGACACTCCCGCAGCTTTTTCGACTCGAAATTTTCAAATCTTCACTTTTTTGGTTTCGTCAGTTTTCAATTTTCCAACTTTGGAATTTTTCAATTTTTAGATTTTGCAATTTTTCGATTTTCAACTTTTTTATTTAATTTTTCTTCAATTTTTGATTTGCAATGTTTCTAGAATTCATTTTAAATATGCATCTAATAATAATTATAATTTAAAAATTGTTTCAATTTTTGATTTTACGATTTTAGAATTTTTCCATTTTTCAATTATTGGATTTAAGATTTTTTTCAATGTTACAGATTATCGCTTTACAATTTTGGCTTTTATGTAATTTCATCATTCGTTTTTTCTTCTTTGCAATTTTTGGATTCATTAATTTTTTTTTAATTTTATGTTTCTCGATTTTTAGTTTTCAGTGTTTCAATTCGTTTCTTCAGTTCTTCTATCTGCAATTTTTTGATTTTGCATTTTATGTTTTTTCGGATTTTTTAGTTTTTCGATCTTCAATGTTTCGGTTGTTCAATTTTTCGAATCAAAAAAATTGGTCGAAGGTTATTTCTACAGAACTTCCCTCGTCCAAAGTGCAATCTAATAAATATCAAAAATTGTTGCGAATTGAATTTTTTATACTGGAATTTTTTAATTCTTCATGTTTTTTGTTTCTTCAGTTTTTCGATTTGCAATTATTTGAGTTTTCAATTTTCATTATTTTTTCAATTTAAATTTTTTTAGTTTTTCGATTGCCGTTTTTTCATTTTTCTTGTTTCTTCTATTTTTAGGTTTTGCAATTTTTCGAATTAAAATTTCTCGAATTTTCAATTTTTAATTTTTCAATTTTCCGACTCTTTAATACATACCTACTTATTTTATTTATTCAAATTTTCGGTTTGCAAATTTTTGTTTCGGTTTTTATTTTCTGTACTTTTGCAATTTTTCGATTTTTCAATATTCCGATTTTATCATTTCTTGTTTCTTCAATTTGAACTTTTTACACTTTACGTTTATTCAGTTTTGGCATTTGCAATTTTTCAATTTTTAATTTTTTTATTCTTCAATTTCTTGTTATTCATCTTTTAAAATAATTGAATAAATTTTGCGCAATGCATTTTTTCGAGTTCGTTTTAAAATTTTTCAAAATTCCGACTTTACAACTTTTGGATGTTTCATTTTTTTTCGATTTTCATTTCAAAGTTTTTCAATTTCTCCCATTTATGTCTCTCCCTCATTTTCCCATTTATCTGTCTCTCTCATTCTACCATTCTCTCACTCTTTCCCATTCTTCCATTCTCTCACTCTCTCTCATTCTCCCATTCTCTCACTCTCTCTCATTCTCCCACTCTCTCTCACTCTCCCAATTATCATTCTCTCTCTCATTCTCCCACTTATCTCTTGGAAAATGGAAAAATTGTAAAATTGAAAAATCAAAAATGTATGATATTTGAAAACTTTGAAAACTAAGAACTTGAAACATTAAAAAACGAAAAATTTAAAAATCTAAATATTGGAAATTAAAGAAATCTGATAATTGAGGAAATCGAAAATCTGCAAAATTTAATAATTTAAAAATTGGAAAATCGAGGACTTGAAAAATCAAATATCGAAAATCTTTTTATAGTTTTTCTTTCGATTTTTTAGTTTTTGATATTTTGATTTTTGATTCCTTCAGACTTTTGATTTACAATTTTTTGTATTTTTCATTCGTTTGATTTTACAATCTTGCGTTCTTTCGATTTTTTAGTTTTTCGATTTTCAATTTTGATTTTTCAATTTTTCGAGTTGGCAATTTTCGGAATAAAAAATGGAAAAATCGCAAAATTGTAAAATTGAAAAATCAAAAATGTATAAGAAAACTTTGAAAAATCTAAAAATTGAAAACCAAGAACCTGAAAAATTAAAAAAACGAAAAATTTGAAAAATTGAGAAACTTAAAAATCGAAAAAGTGAAAAATTGAAAAAACGAAATATTGTTAAACCGAAATATTGGAAATTAAAGAAATCGGAAAATCTGATAATTGCGAAATCCAACCGAAAATAGAAATATTGGAAATTAAAGAAATCGGAAAATCTGATAATTGAGAAATCGAAAATCTGCAAAATTGAATTAAATTATTGGAAAATCGAGGAATTGAAAAATCAAAGATTGAAAATCTTTTTATAGTTTTCGATTTTTAATACTTCGATTTTTCAATTTTTGATATTTTGATTTTTCATTCCTTCAGTTTTTTGATTTACAATTTGTTGTATTTTTTTCTCTCATTCTCTGATTTATTTCTCTCTCTCTCTCTCTCTCTCTCATTCTTCCATTTATTTCTCTGCCTCTCTCATTCCCCCATTTATCTCTTGGAAAATGGAAAAATTGCAAAATTGTAAAATTGAAAACTAGAAACTTAAAACAACGAAAAATTTAAAAAGCGAAAATCGAAATATTGGAACTTAAAGAAATCGGAAAATCAGATAATTGAGAAATTGAAAATCTGCAAAACTGAATGTAATTTAAAAATTGGAAAATCGAGGAACTAAAAAATCAAAGGTTGAAAATCTTTTTAGTTTTTCGATTTTTCAGTTTTTGATATTTTGATTTTTCATTCCTTCAGTCTTTGATTTACGATTTTTTGTATTTTTCAGTCTTTCGATTTTACAATCTTCTGTTATTTCGATTTTTTGGTTTTTCGATTTTCAATTTTGATTTTTCAATTTTTCGAGTTTGCAATTTTTGGAATAAAAAATGGAAAAATTGCAAAATTGTAAAATTGAAAACTAGAAACTTAAAACAACGAAAAATTTAAAAAGCGAAAATCGAAATATTGGAACTTAAAGAAATCGGAAAATCAGATAATTGAGAAATTGAAAATCTGCAAAACTCAATGTAATTTAAAAATTGAAAATCGAGGAACTAAAAAATCAAAGGTTGAAAATCTTTTTAGTTTTTCGATTTTTCAGTTTTTGATATTTTGATTTTTCATTCCTTCAGTCTTTGATTTACGATTTTTTGTATTTTTCAGTCTTCCGATTTTACAATCTTCTGTTCTTTCGATTTTTTTTTTCGATTTTCAATTTTGATTTTTCAATTTTTCGAGTTTGCAATTTTTGGAATAAAAAATGGAAAAATTGCAAAATTGTAAAATTGAAAAATCAAAAATATATAATAAGAAAACTTAGAAAAATCTAAAAATTGAAAACCAAGAACTTGAAAAATTAAAAAAACGAAAAATTTGGAAAAATGAGAAACTTAAAAATCGAAAAAGTGAAAAATTGAAAAAACGAAATATTGTTAAACCGAAATATTGGAAATTAAAGAAATCGGAAAATCTGATAATTGAGAAATCGAAAATCTGCAAAATTGAATAATTTAAAAATTCGAAAATCCAGGAATTAAAAAATCAAAGATTGAATTTTTTTTTATAGTTTTTCGATTTTTAATACTTCGATTTTTCAGTTTTTGATACATATTTTGATTTTTCATTCCTTCAGTTTTTTTATTTACAATTTTTTTTATTTTTCCGTCTTTCGATTTTACAATCTTCCGGTCTTTCGATTTTTTAGTTTTTCGACTTTCAATTTTGATTTTTCAATTTTTCGAGTTTGCAATTTTTGGAATAAAAAATGGAAAAATTGCAAAATTGTAAAATTGAAAAATCAAAAATGTATAAGAAAACGTTGAAAAATCTAAAAATTGAAAACTAAGAACCTGAAAAATTAAAAAAACGAAAAATTTGAAAAATTGAGAAATTTAAAAATCGAAAATGTGAAAAATCGAAAAAACGAAATATGTATTGTTAAACCGAAATATTGGAAATTAAAGAAATCGAAAAATCTGATAATTGAGAAATCGAAAATCTGCAAAATTGAATAATTTAAAACTTGGAAAATGGAGGAATTGAAAAATCAAAGATTGAAAATCTTTTTATAGTTTTTCGATTTTTAATACTTCGATTTTGATTTTTCATTCCTTCGGTTTTTTGATTCACAATTTTTTGTATTTTTCAGTCTTTCGTTCTTTCGATTTTTTTGTTTTTCGATTTTCAATTTTGTTTGTTTGTTTTCAAAACTGAATAATTTAAAAATTGAAAAATCGAGGAATTAAAATCAAAGATTGAAAATTTGAAAAACTGAATAAACGAAAAATTGTGATATCAAAATTTGTCCAAAGTGGTTCACACAGAACTTCCCTCGCTCCTGAAGTACAATGACACAGCATTTTCAATTGAGTTTTAATTTTGAGTA